GCGTTTGCATAAAAAGCATGCTTATGAAATTGGAACACTATTGGTAGCATGCACTTATGACGACATGCTCGCAGCGCTGACAAACAATTTTGGAACACAACCTATGAAACATTATCGTGACGCTATTGTTGGTAGCGTTTGACGTCATGACTCGCGCTACGAATGCTATCGCCAAAGAAGCAATGTGTTGATAGCGTTCGTGTGCTCCATGAACAGCAATAGTGTAGTGAATACTAAAGTGAACATTGTTGGCTGATACTTCGAAATGAATGATCGCAATAGTATTCATTATACTTAGCTTTTAAAATGGATTACATGAAAATGGAATTGCACGATGAAGAATTACAGGAAAGTTATATGTTAAAATTGAGTCCAACGGATGTCATTAAAGCAAAAAAGGTAATTATTCAATTTAGTTATCGTACCTTAAAATTCAATAAAATTAGGCTTATTCGACGCGTTTTTGCATGAAACAAAAGAATCTGGCAAATAAAGTATCGCTCTGCCCTGTGAGCCGAGATATTAAGCGTTAAAGTTGACAATTATTGAGGTTAGGAAATCTATTACTGTCGCAAAATACTGCGATGCAAGCATACATTGCGGTTGCCTTTTTCATGCTCTGTGACAATTCACTACTTTAAAAACAATTCACTGTTTTAAAAACAATCCACTGCTTGAAAAACAATTCATTGTTTTAGGAACAACAATTCACTGCTTTAAAAACAATTCACTACTTTAAAAACAATTCACTGCTGTAAAAACAACAATTCACTTAAAAACAATTTATGGCTGTTCTCCAACGTGCTTTTTGTTTCCTGTTTCTTGCTGTTTGTCTCTTGCCTTCTTGATCAAAAAGGCAAGAGACAAACAGCAAGAAACAGGAAACAAAAAGCATATTGTAGAACAGCCATAACTGCCTTAAAAACAACAATACACTATTTTAAACATACAAATTCTTTGCATTAGCAGTAAATTTGCATTTTTAAAGCAGTGAATTGTTGTTTTTAAAGCAGTGAATTGTTTTTAAAGCAGTGAATTGTTTTTAAAGCATTGAATTGTTTTTAAAGTAGTGAATTGTCACAGAGCATGAAAAAGGCAACCGCAATGCATGCTTGCATCGCAGGGGTGGCACCCAGTTGGACACGGCTCAATTGGACACGAGCCACTCAACGCTTAATATCTCGGCTCACAGGGCAGAGCAACACTTTTTTGCCAGATTCTTTCGTTTCATGCAAAAACGCTTCGAATAAGCCTAATTTTATTGATTTTTGAGGTACGGTAACTAAATTGAATAATTACCTTTTTTGCTTTAATGACATCCGTTGGACACAATTTTAACATGTAATTTTCCTGTAAGGGTGCCGTCACATGCGGCGTAACCTGCGTAAGCAAAACCTGCGTGTTCTAGTAATTTACTAGAATACGTTATTTTTTATTTACTAGAATACGCCATTCTGAAAGCCCGCATTCACATTGAGCGTATTTCGCGGAAGATTAGAGAAATGCGGAACTAATGCAACCAATTGCTGATTAGAATTTCTGTTGTACACTCTAACAGAAATGCTAAATGAATTTACGATTGGTTTTCGTAACCTACGCATCTCGAAAAGCACGCCTCATGGGGAACCG